TACCTTTGTCCCCATGTCTGATGGATTGTACTGTGTAGGAATTTTTTCAAGAAGAACAAATTCATTTGAGACAATATCTCTAATAAAATGTAATTTTACATCTATGTGTTTAGTTCTTTCATGAAAAACAAGATTCTTACACAAGTATATTGCACTTTGGCTATCTGAATAAACAAGTACAGGTTCATTTAACATCCTAATTTCAGATAATAGTCCCTTAAGGCACAAAGCTTCCTTCACAGCTTCTGTGGCAGCTAAAGACTCGGTCTCTGTGGTTGATAAAGCAACTATAGGCTGTAATTGGGACTTCCAACTCACACAGGTACCACAAAGAGTGAACATATAGGCAGAAGTGGACTTTCTATAGTCCTTATCACCAGCAAAATCAACATCCACAAAGCCTTTTAAGTGTTATTCCTTCATTACCTCTTTTATATACTAATCATATGCTAGAAGTGCCTTTTAAGTACCTAAGTAACCATTTAAGTGCTTCCCAATGTTCGGGACCAGGATTAGCCATAAATCTACTTAAAGTGCTGATTGCATGAGCTACATCAGGTCTGGTACAGACCATGGTATACATTATAGACCCTACAGCATTAGCATATGGAACCTTTTCCATGTACTTTATATCAGATTCATCAATTGGGCATTGCTCTTTACTTAATTTGAAATGACTAGCTAAAGGCAAAGACACAGATTTTGATTCATGCATTGAAAACTTGGATAAAACTTTTTCTATGTAAGCTGATTGTTTCAAAATCAAAATGTATTGTGCTCTTTTTCTAAGTATATCCATTCCCAATATCATTTTAGCATGCCCCAGATTTTTCATTTCAAATTCAGCACCAAAAGTATCTTTAATATCATTTATCTGTTTTAAATCAGGCCCAATCAGCAGCATATCATCAACATAAAGTAACAGAAAAATAGATATTGAAGAATCAGAATCTTTCTTAAAGTAAAGGCAATGATTATAAGAGCTTCTTACAAAACCAAAAGTCATGACAAAAGTATCAAACTTTTTATACATTGTCTAGGGGACTGTTTTAAACCATATAAGGATTTCTTAAGCAAGCACACAAAGTCAGATTTAGATTTATTCACAAAACCTTCAGGTTGTGACATATAAATTGTCTCATCTAAATCACCATGTAAGAAGGCTGTTTTTACATCCATTTGTTCTAATTCCCAATTGTGATGTGCAACTAATGCTAGTAGGACTCTTATAGTTGTGTATTTTACAACGGGTGAAAATATCTCATTGTAATCTACACCCTATTTTTGTGTAAACCCTTTAGCAACTAATCTTGCTTTAAATCTCACAGGCTCATTATCTGAACTGCCTTCTTTCACCTTGTAAATCCATTTACAGTCAACTATGGATTTATTTTTGGGTCTAGGCACAAGATCCCAAGTTTTATTCTTCATTAGAGAACTCATCTCTTCTTTTATGGCAACTTCCCACTTGCCAGACTGGTTACAACTCATGGCTTCACTATAGGTCTTGGGTTCCTTATAGGTTAGGTCATTATAAGACATGACAGAATATGATAGATAGTCTTCATATCTTGTAGGTTCTCTTATGTTCCTTCTAGGCCTATCCCTAGTCAATTGATAGTCACTAAGATCACTTTGTTGACTGGGATCATCCATTTCAGTTTGTTCATGTTCCTCCACACCTGAATTTTCTAATTCAGTTTGAGTCTGAGGTAGTGGAGGTTCATTTCCTCTCACATTATTAGGAACAGAATCAGTTTGAGATCCCAACTCCACGTGAAACCTTGTCACACTTGGGTTTTCAGGGTCTGTAGACTTTTGTTTTTCTAAACAGGGCAGCTCTTCCTCATTGAAGGTAACATCTCTACTTGTTATCATTTTATACCCCCCTTGACCTCTAGCCCATAACCAATAGCCCTTAATTCCTTCAGGATAACCTAAGAACACATTTCTGAGCCCTTGGCTCCAGTTTTCCCAAATTCTGGTGACAATAAGCTGTACACCCGAATATTCTAAGGTGGGAATAGTCTGGTATTTTTCCAGACCACTTCTCTTCAGATGTCTTACCTTTCAAAGCACTAGAAGGGGTTCTATTCACTATATATGTACCTGTCATTACAGCCTCCCCCCACAACACCTTAGGAACTCTTGATCCCACCATCATACACCTAACCTTATCCAACAAGGTCCTATTCATTCTCTCAGCCACCCCATTTTGTGTCTTAGGATTCCATTTGATTCACAAAGTTTATCAAATTCTGAGTTGTAAAATTCAAGTCCATTATCAGTTCTCAAAATTTTAATCTTTGTAGACATTTGATTTTCAATAAGGACTTTCCAGCTTTTAAACTTTTCAAAGGTTTCAGATTTGTGCTTTAGTAGAAACACCCCACACTTTTCTTGAAAAGTCATCAATTATTGAGAGGAAATACTTATTTCCCCCTGGAGTAGTTGTGGAGGTTGGACCCCACAAATTAGAGTGGACATATTCCAATAGAGAAGTAGTTTTATGTTTTTCAGAATTAAAATGGAATCTGTGATGTTTGCCAAAAGTGCAGCTTTCACAGAAAGGTATTTTTGATATTTGGTCCTTACCAAATACCCCCTTTTTATGTAGGATTGTGAGGCCTTTTTCACCAACATGTGGAAGCCTCTTATACCATTTTAAGGTGGAATCAGATTCAATATTAGAGATAGTTGTATTATTTTCAAGTATTATTTCAGCTCTAGCTACATAGATTCCATTTTTCTTGACACCCTTAAAGATGACAAGAGATCCATTGATCACATTCATCAATCCATCCCTAATCCTACCACACAGCCCTAGGTCATCTTATTCTCCCATAGAGATCAGATTTCTTTTAAGTTCAGGAACATACCTCACTCTCTCTAGGGTATACATGTATCCATTTTCAAATTTTAGGGTCACATTACCTAGTCTTTCAACTCTGCAGGCAATATTATTCCTCAGCACCACTTCACCACCAGCTAACTTCTTAAAATCTTGAAGCCTACTTTCAGCAGTTTCGGCGGAATACATGGTAGTTTCTCCTTCACTACTGTATTCATGCTGGAACTCTGAGAACTCGACGGGGGATGAACATAATTGGACATTACTCTGGGCCCCATTAACAGATCCTGTTGACTCAGCATCTAGCATGACGTCAGATAGGCCTCTGTCACCATGTTGTTCTTCTTCCAGTGGCTGCGGCAGCGAGGTCTCCTCAACAAAATTTTCATCATACTTGGAGGGCATTTTTCTCACTGGAGGTGCTGAAACTGTAGCTTTAGCAATTCTTGGTGGAAAATTGATATCTAAAAGCTGAATTTGGTTACTTTCCCTCTTCCCAACTGGGAAAGAAGTCAACATTGGGGACTCGTAGATTTCTGGAGTAGGAACCTCCTGTACATGAGTCCCTGCACGTGGAACAGCAGTCAAAATCTCATCCTCCAAAGTATTCGTAACAGCAGTATAGCTTGGTCCAGGCTGCTCTCCATGTTTGGACATAACATTTGATGATGATGGAGTTCCCTCATTCTCACCTTCTGTGGGCTTAAAAATGCGCCGCATTGTGAAGGATGCACAAGAATGCTCACTTTTCTGACCAGAAGACATCAAGCGAATTAATGGTAACTTGGGTTTGTTGAGTTCATCGAGATTCCCCTCCCAATGCTGTTTTAACCAATCACAGATGATGGGGATAGGAATACCAAATTGCATAGGAGAATCCTTCTTCCATGATGATGTCGACGACGATGAAGTTGAGGATTTGGTGTTTGGCAATGTCGCAAGTTTCATAGGATCACAAACCATAAATGCAAGATTTCCATGAACATCAAAACCAGCAGAACCTGGGCTCCACGTTACTCCATCAGTAGACAACTTTATCAGATTATCAGAGGCTATTACTAACTTTCCTTCACCGACTGTCAGCTCCTGCTTTGCTGCATATCCCAAAAGATAAACTGCACTTCCTAGCTCTAAATTTGGTTTTGAACATGTTTTCAAGTAGTGATGTTGCTGCACTGGCATCGAGTCTCCATCCACAGTATCAAGTCCCACTATTGTCAAATCAAGAACAGAGCTTGTAATAAAGAACCTGGAATCAAGTAAAGATTATAGAGAATTATTATGACTTCCGAGAGTACAGTTGTAGAGCTAAATTTTATATAATAAGAGAGGTTTAAATTAGTATCCAGAAAAACTAGGGAATGTTTACAGCATCATGGCGAAGCACGAGATAAATCTAACATATTAGCAATCTCTAATAAATTGTGGATAATTCCAAAAACTTGTCCTCAAGCATTCCAAACTCATCTGAGTTTAATGCTCTTGAGGGCTTTATCAAGAGTGCTGAACTTTTTCTCTGAGCATAATCCAGGAAGCAGACTTGGTAATATTAGGTCTGAGGATCAAATCTCCCTCACTCTCCTAATCTCCACAGGGCCAAGCTCTCTATTTCTCAAAAGAAGCACTGGGAAATATTCAAGAATGAGAAGAAACCATTGTCCAAATGTAAAACCTATCATTCAACTTTTAATTTAGCCCCTGTTTGACATTCATTATTCCAAAACTCTTTAATTCACACTCATTATCAACCACATATTCACACAATAAAATATTTTGCACATAAC